CCCTTGCGCGCCTTCCCTCTGACAATGTCCTTCGCTTGATTATTACTACAGGAGCAAGCCTCATCACAATTGCATTTTAAGCTACTTTGTACTTTACGTTGTCGAGCCACGTCGCTGTCCTGCGAACTGTCGGAGTAAATCTGCGTCTGCGGTCGACGCTCCTCAATCTTCAGGCGACACTCGAAGCGGCACGAGCCGTTATTGTCGATATTACAACATTCGCACAAAGTTTCTGCGGCTCCCGAATTATGGCACGCGGTAAAATCGTTCGCGCAATCGCAAATCTTTCCCGTGTCACTCTGTTCGCTGTAGTTCAGCGCGCGCATTCGGCCCTGGCTTTCAGCGTTGTAGCTTTGTCGAGATTTACCAACGACGATCCTTCTGTCCGCGTCGTCAGCAGAGACGTTGTCACACTCGCACGCGTTCCCGCAGTTCTGTTCGACCTGTCCCGAGACTTTGTCGTGCGTGCAGGAGGGATTCTTCTGGCATACGGCGCAGACGGCACCGTTGACATCTACAGCGGGCTTCTGTTTAAAGCACAACGGACACGTGGTGAACGGTCGTTTGTAATACTCAGTCCGTTTGACTTTGACGGCGCTCGAGCCGGCCTTGTTCTCGGTGACGGACGGACAAGCGCCGTGTGCGCAGCTACATTTTGATTTTGACGCGTTGATCTGATTCTTAGCCTCCTTCTGTTTCGTCTGGACGTTGCCGCTTTGCGACGCGTGACGGTGCGCGGGCTCCGTCGCGCTGTTGTCGCTCGCGTAATTCGTCTGCGTCTGCTGCGAAACGGCCGGCGGCGCGTCTTCCTGGTAGCCCTTACGCGACCTGACCAGCAACGCGGCCGTCTCGGACGGGCTCTGTTTACATCGCGCGCACGTGCGCCGCACGACCGGGCCGGCGTGCGTCTGGCACGACTGATCTCTGCATTTGGCGCCGTTTTGGTAACTCGCGCACGACTTCTGAGGGTTCGCGTGTTTCGCGTCGTACGCGTCCGACTCGGCGTCCGTCAGCGGCGTCGAGGACGCTTCCCGAGATGGTGGTAGCGTCTGCACACCGACGGTCACGTGCTTCGTCGCGGATCTCCGCGTCGTTCTGCCGGCTGACACGATCTCGCCGCCGGTCTTCGAGTAAGCACTGGCCACGCCCGTGGTGGCCGTTTGCGTGCAACTGTTACGTTTCATGACCCGCTGGACCATACCGTCGCCGGCAGCCTCGCACGCCGCCAAGTTGCAGTGAGACGACCACGGCTCGTTCACGGAATCCTCTTGTAAATCGGACACGCTCCTGAGGGGACGAAATTAAAAAGGCGATTAGATTACGCGAATTACAATCTCGCTGCGTTAGTTATACAATATGTTACAAACGAATACAAATTATACCTGTGTATGGCGTCCGCGTGTTGCTCCCGCCTAAGTATCGCTGCTTGCTTTGACTTGAGATTCGCCGATTTCGATTTTCTCGGCGAGGATTTCGGTCTCTCCAGTCGCCTGGGCTGTTCGAGCAATCTGGTGAAATAAAGTGAAACCAGAGTTGAAAGACGTGGCGTTCAAGGAAAAAAGAAGTTTGCTAAAATGGAAAAGTTAGAAAATAGTGCGAAACGTACTTCTTCAAGTTACAGAGATGGCTAATCTCGTTCGTGATCCAAATCAGCTGATTT